TCCTCCTACTAGTGGCCTTACTCCAACACTTTCTCTGGGTTTGGTGATGGGCGTGTCATCAAAGAGAACCCATGGCTTTATTGAAATGAAGTTGCTACACACAGTAGGCAGACCTTAGCTTCTTCAAGTAGTTTGGGGACGTGTTGTGTTAGTGAGCTCATTTTTATATTAGTGTCCTTATGTGATGATGCTCCTTTGTAAGATTTGAGCAAGAAACAAAATCCTGACATTTCTAATTCAATAAACCCTTCACATCCCGTTCTTCACATTGACATTTAATGATACAACGTCCAAGAAGTTAAAGGCGGCCCACAAGGGGAATAGTCTCCACACAGAGAGATTTCACCCAGAAAAGGTTTTCTAAAATAATTAGTAATTCTCAGAGAGCCCAAATTGTGTCACTAGTCCCTGCCAGAACTAATGAGTCAGTAAGTAATCAGTGACAGCATATGAAACAAGAGTGACTGATGGCAGAATTTCTTAGGATGGCTTTCTTTTCCTGAAATGGCTGGAAGATTGACTGATCTCTTCATTAGCACAGGGATTGGCCCCAGCCTCTGACTGCAAGACCAGAAAGTGTTCCTTCCTCCAAGCTGATTGTCCATGTAAAGAATCCCTTAAAAAGGGTGGAAGGGCTCAGGACTTCAGACGTGGTTTGCTGTTCATTCCTGTTCCAGCTTTAGGACAGTTCGATAAGACATCATAATGAAAACTTTTAGTCAAGGACTAAAACTGTTGTGGGAAATAGAGGGGTTTTTTTTTATATATATATTCCGAGAGACAGTATTGCCTAGAGGGTTACGAGTGCATCTCTGGAGCAAGACTCAAGTTCCAGCTAAAGCACTTTCTAGCCCTGGAGCCCTGGGCAATTTCTTAATCTCCTTGTGCCTCAGTTTACTGTTTTGTAAAAGAGGAATAAAGGTGTGGTACCTACCTCATTGATTTATTGAGGGGATTGAGATCCTACAGGCAGAAGAGTACCAAGTAACAACTTTTTATTGAGTAATTCTACGTTAATAATCATGACATTATTGGATGAATAAAGAACATTACACGGAGGCACTCGGGCATTAATCCTAAAATATTGACTTTAGGGAGAAATAGGAGGATGGTTGAAAAATAAGACAATAAGCCAAACGTCTGGGCAAGATCTTTTTTATAAAGAAGTGCTCACCACGGAGGAGGTGGAGGAGTGCGGCTTGAGGGTGGAGATGACGGCGATGAGGATGAAGGTGATGACGGGGAAGAAACCACAGCTGGCATGACCTAGACTGCCAAAGCACTGCTTGCGTCACCTCATTTACCCTCAAAATCCCTTAGGGAGCTACTATTATTAACATCCAATTACCGATGATGTGGAAAAGCTGAGCGACTTGTCCAGGGTCCAGGTGCTTGATGGGCCATCCCTGAGCTGGGCGTAGAGGACCCCCTAACTGCAGCCCCAGCTGTTGCAGAATCTTTTCCTGCCCAGCCCCTGACCAAGGCCTTAACTCTCCGTAGCTTTCTCCTTCCTTAAAAATTCTCACCTCCCAATTTGGGCATAAAAGTGAAGTTCATTTATTTCCTTAACATTGTCCGCATAAAATTATCTATTCTTTTCATAAAAACAAAACAAAAACACACAAAGTCAACATGCCCTGTGTAGTGAATGTACTGGAAAAGCCCCAGAATTTGGAGTCAGGTGAGCAGGGCCCAGGTGAAAGAAAACGTCTGTTCCCCATGTGCTGTGCTCCTTTCACAGACAGGGACTCCTGGGCTCTCACAGCAGCGAGGGAGGGGGCTTCTAATCACCATTTTGACACAAGAAAACTGGGCCTCTGAGGTTAGTTTGATCAGCCTTACAGCTAGCTACTCAGTGTTTCTCCAGGGGTTCAAGCTCAGGTCGGGGGCACCCTGAAGCCCACGCATGCGCTTTCCTTTCTCTATCTCCCTCCTCCCCCCCTTTCTTCCCCCCCACCCTTGCCAACCTGTGGTAGTTACAGGAAAGAATTGCAGATGTGCTGGGAGGCAGCAGGAGATGGAGGGGACTTAGGGGGGGGGGCGAAGAGGTGGGCTGAAGCCACCTAATCTGCAAATATGGACAGCGGGTCCCATGTTCTTGGTGCCTAAGCTGAACCTTGCTCAGCATTTTTCTCCCACTCTCCTTTCCCCCGTTCTTGACTTGCCATCCTCTTCCTTCCTTGGGAAAGGAAACCCATACTTTATTAACAGCCCTGGGTTTTGAAATTGCTGACTTTACTAGAGTTCATTGAGGAGCTGCTAATGGCTGTGGTCATTGAGCCCTGAATGCAATTATAACCACTTAGCTCAATGTACCTTTGTGCACCTGCTGTTTCCTTTAAGGCTGTAAACAGCACCTGGAGGGGCTGGGGTGTGAGGGGCGGGAGGGTTGGGGAGAAGGCTTCATTCAACATCCCTGTTGGGTTTTTATTGAATTATCCAAATAGGCCTTATTTCCACTGAGCTCTAGCGATCAAACCTTGCTATCATTTCCTTCTCAGTTCTGCCATCGTCACTAGGAACTTGTACCTATGTGGCGATAAACTGCACAGCAGGTTGGGCTTCCTTCTCTGCTTGGGCAGGTGGGAGGGGAAATGCCCTTCTCCCATGGGTGGGAAATGATATGGTGTAATTATAAGACTAGTTCCTGGCAGCAAAACACCTGCCTGTTTCCTGCCCACGAGCATTTAAGAGGGAAAGAGCCAGGGTAGGGTGTTTGCAGAAGGTGGCTTTGCTTACTAGTCTCCTAGGAACCACGGGGCCAGCATGACTGCCCGCCTTAGCCCAGCCTACTCTAGTCAGACCTGGGTCAGGCCCCAGGAGCTGTTTTCCATCCCTCTAAACCTGGTCCATTGGAGTTTTCACAGGCCTGGGTTGCAGGTAACATGAAAGGGAGGCCGTGCCAAAATGGGCAGGTGCCTGCCCTGGCTTGCCTCTGCCCCCTGCGACTCCTGGGCCCTGAGGCTGTGCTGCTGCCTGTCTTCCCTAAGCTGAATGCAGACCCAGCTGGGAGGAGCCATGGGTGTCACAGAGAGATTCTGTCCTAAGAAAAGGGAGCCACAATTGGGAACTCTGGTCTCTAACCTGAAATAACTTGCTGACTTCTCACCACAGCTGGGAAGAGGCCAATAGCCCCTTTCAGGATTTGACAAAAGCTCATTCACACCAATGGGCTTGTTGGACCTTCACAACTTACTTCTAACTTGGGAAAAGGAATGCTTTCAGTCAAAGGAATTTCTGTGAAGGAGTTTTATTGTGACTTGGGACATGGAGGTATTGGAGGGCTGCTGCTTTTCCCTGATGTCAAAGACTGACCCATAAATAGAAAAGATGGCTCCCTTAAAGAGGCTGGGGTGGAAGAAGGATCAAAAGTGACGTGCCCAGGCGGTTCGATTCCCTCCCCTTCTTCTTTTAAAATGAACCGTCACCTCTAGTTGGTGAAGCTCAGACCTGGAGCCCAGAGCCACTTCCCATGGGACTTCTCACAGTGTGCCTGCCACCTGTCCCTTCCGGGTGCCCTGTGACCTTCTCTCTCTGGGCAGGCAGCCACGGCCTCCTAGCTCCACTCAGACTCTCCAGGCACCATGCTGGAGTCAGGAATTGTGTGGTCCACATGTTCTCAGGAAGGGCAGGGGAGGTGTGGGTGCAAAGGAGGCCCTGGAACCTGGTGACGACGGGACAGGGAACAAGCCTTTGCCTTCTTACGTAAGTGTGCAGATGATCGGTAAATGGCACATCATAAATGACATGACATCTCTGGAAGACTTTGTAAACGCTTTCAAAATGTGAGGTCTTCATTTTACCACTGGTATCAGGGGAAACTATTAACTGATGCTAATTAGAGATTCCATGGACCAATAAAGTAGGAAAAGAAAAGGCCAAAATTTACTTAGGGTAAGATACCTTCTAATTCTAGCCATGTATGTAAGCTGCTTCTTATTGATGCCTGATTACCATGAATTAGGACAACGATGAAACAGACAGATTGATTTGGGATTGATTAATCTTCTAAGTTTATTTTATCACAGCACCTTCTAAATGTGTGCTCAGGCTTTGAGGTTATAGTTCGTGTTGCTTTGTGCATCAGGAGTCAGTTTTCCCACACTTGCTGACAACTGGCAGGAACTTTGGCCTTGAGCCTCAATGGGTGGAACCCTGCTCAGTTTGCTTCAGGATGCAGAAAGCCGGGACCTGACAAGGGACTCAGAGTCATGAGCCTGATTGGGATTCTCTTGACCTGGGTTCTGACTCAGCAAAGAGGTTGTCTGGACCTGTTAATGGGATGGAGAAGAAGGGATGGGTTCAAGGCATATTTATGAGGTGATTTGTTTATGTGGGTGTGAAGGAAATGGAAGCATCAGGGACAAGGGACCTCCCTGGGGTCCCTTCTTATAAGGGCACTAATCACCTCCCAAAGACCCCACCTCCAACTACCATCACATTGGAGATTAGGTTACAACCTATGAATTTGGGGGGGACACAAACATTCAGTCTATAGCAGTGAGATTCACTGGACTTTCCCCATGTGACTTCAGACATAGATCTATCTAATCAGGATTTGAAGGTAGAATCATGACAAACATTTCTCGCAGTCTCAGGTGGGCCATTTGCATCTCCAACGATCTCTTAATGACACCCATTTCTCTAAACCTTTGCCCAAACCTGTGTACTCCCTCTGTAAATATGCCAAGCAGAAATGTCGACAATATAAGATACTTAGTACCTATGTACCTATGTTTTAGGAGTTTACATTATTTTCCCTTCTATTTGGTAATCAGCATCTCTCAAAATTAGGTATAGTTAACACAGAATACCCCCCAAAATACCACCATCTGCATACTTCCACTTCTTTACTTCTGGATTCTTTCAAGGCCTTGTTTTATTCATCTGTGGGCCCAGCATTCTGCCTGGCTTGTGATAACCACCCAGTGGACTTTGGTTGAACTGAACTAATTTTCTCTGAATATTTCAACCTGAATTACTCCTTTTGCCTCTTACAGAATGAAGATATTCCGATGCTGCTCTAAATACCCGCTTCAGCAGAAAGTGTTCGTCCTGTTTTTAACCCTGTGGCTGCTGTCCTTGCTGAAGCTTCTAAACGTAGGAAGACTCCTCTTCCCTCAAAGAGACATTTACTTGGTTGAGTACTCCCTAAGTACCTCCCTTTTTGTAAGGAACAGATATACCCATGTTCAGGATGAAGTCAGGTATGAAGTTAACTGTTCGGGTGTCTATGAACAGGAGCCTTTGGAAATTGGCAAGACCCTGGAAATAAGAAGAAGAGACATCATTGACTTGGATGATGATGATGTTGTGGCAGTGACCCACCATTGTGACGTTTATCAGACCCTAAGAAGGTACCATCAGAAGTTTGTTTCAAGGGAGGAGAAAAGCTTCCCAATAGCCTATTCTTTGGTTGTTCACAAAGACGCAATTATGGTTGAAAGGCTAATCCATGCTATATACAACCAGCACAATATTTACTGCATCCATTATGACCAGAAGTCACATGACACCTTCAAAGTTGCCATGAACAATTTGGCGAAGTGCTTCTCCAATATTTTTATCGCTTCCAAATTAGAGACTGTACAATATGCACACATTTCCAGGCTCCAAGCTGATTTAAATTGCTTGTCCGACCTTCTCAAGTCTTCAGTGCAGTGGAAATATGTTATCAACTTGTGTGGGCAAGACTTTCCTTTGAAGTCAAACTTTGAATTAGTGTCAGAGCTGAAGAAACTCAATGGAGCAAATATGTTAGAGACAGTGAAACCCCCAAACAGTAAAATGGAAAGATTCACTTATCACCATGAACTCAGACAGGTGCCTTATGAATATGTGAAGCTACCAGTAAGGACAAACATCATCAAAGAAGCTCCTCCTCATAACATTGAGATATTTGTTGGCAGTGCTTATTTTGTTTTAAGTCGAGCATTTGTTAAATATGTTTTCAACAACTCCCTTGTTAAAGACTTTTTTGCCTGGTCTGAAGATACATACTCCCCTGATGAGCATTTTTGGGCTACCTTAATTCGGGTACCAGGAATACCTGGGGAGATTTCTCGGTCAGCCCAGGATGTGTCTGACCTACAGAGTAAGACCCGCCTTGTCAAATGGAATTATCATGAAGGCCATTTCTATCCCAGTTGTACTGGCTCTCACCTCCGAAGTGTGTGTATCTATGGAGCAGCAGAATTAAGGTGGCTTATACAAGATGGACATTGGTTTGCTAATAAATTTGATTCTAAGGTAGACCCTGTCTTGATTAAATGCTTGGCAGAAAAGCTTGAAGAACAACAGAGAGAGTGGATCACTTTATCTTCAGAAAAGTTATTTACGGATAAAAATCTCACAATTATGTCATGATAAAATCATGATAGAAATAAGATGTCTGATAAATGGAATTAATATGGAATTGTACAGTATACCATGTCCAGTACCATCTGAATTTAACCTTATCCTAATTTGAAAGGTATCTGAAATTCCATGCACGAGGGAAAGTGACCTAGCCTTTGGTGACAGTTAACCTGCAGTTGGTTGGGTACTTTTGTTTGTTTTTGCCTGTAATCTCACTGAGCTAAATCAGAGATCTTAAACAACCATTTGGTATTTATTGAGCTCCTGCTGTATGCCAGGCACTTTTTTAGAAATGGTAGCAATTAAATCCAAGTTTTAATGAGTTATATAGTGCCCTCAAGGGATTGTGTTTTACCCTACTCATGCAGCAAGCTTAATGTCTTAAGTTCTCCATATAACAATCAGGATCCTACTGAAGACATTTTGGAGTGTGTGATAATCACCCATATAAACCACCCATTTCAGAATAGCATTTAAGTATAGTGATCAACACTCCACTCGTCTCTTAATTCAACTCCCTGGACTTTTTCTAACTATTTTTCTAGAAGGAGAGACTCCACTACCTCAGAAGAGCTCAAAAGATTGTCCAATCTCCTGTTTGTCAGAGTATAATTTACCTTTTGGTGACTCACTCATTCAACTCAGGGTCGGGGAAACTCTGTGGGTGGGACATTCATAGTGTCTGAATGTTAGGGAGTGGGCAGGAGGATTGGGACAGGTGGTGCTTGAAGAGGAACAAAAGTATTTATATGACTTTTGCATCATGTTACACAATGGTGTCATGATGGCCTCCTTTTTAATTCAACTGTTGCTTTAAAACACATTTACTGATTAAAAATGAGAACTGTTTAATAGTCAAGTTGTTATACTCTAGAACATTGAACCTAAGTCTTCCTGTTCATAGATTATCATTATCTGTAAGTTTCTTTACAATGGAATTAGTATAATTCTGTTTTATGGAACTACCAAGCTAAGAGTCTGAATTTTCTTGAAAAGGTTATGTGAAATATAACAACTTTCTAAATAAATTATTATGGTCATTTAAAATATTTTCTTCTCCAACAACTGTCCAAGTTGAACCCAAACTTAAAATTATGAAAGCTCTAAGTTCACTGCAGTCTTCTTCTCAGCTTAGATCCAGAGAGAAAAAGCTAATTTTCTTAAGGACATAGCAAGAATATTCATTAAAGATATTTTGTAAAACCTACACCTCACAAAACTACCAAGCGAGTCAAATATACATGTATATTTGTAACTGTGCTGTGCTGGAGGTGAAATGGGACAGGAGCAGGGTTCTGAGAACAGGCTATAACATATTTACATCTCTTGGGAAATCGTGGAACTCATGTAAAAATTTCTTCGTGGTCTTATGTTTCAATGTCAGCCTCAGTAACTAAAGATGTAGTCATCATGGCCAGTGTGAGACTGTTTGGAAGACTGAAGTATTTAAGCGTTTTTTTAAAATGTCTGTGTTGTAAATGTCTGTGAAATGAACTTCGCTTGTTTTGGTTTTTTTTCTTTCCCCCCTTTTTTTTTTTTTTTTCCCCTCCTAAGACCA